AATCTTTGTCCTATCCTCGTTACACGACTATGGACAAAGAGGGGCAGCTGTAGACATACTTTTACTGACCAAAATAAACATATATTATATATACTACATATATATATATTATAAGTATTATTAATTTATTAATATCACATTTACATCCATTTTATTTTCGTTCAGGCCTAAGAACGGGGCCCATAATTATTACAAGGTGCGATCCAGCTGCATGTAACCCAACCCAACCTTTACCCATTTCCAGAACCCTAGCAAGAAAGCCTCCAGCGCCGCAATGAGGGGAATTCGTCCCAGTTGAGGACTCCTCGCCACGTACGCCTCTCCACCAGCCCGAGTTCTCCAGTGCAAGGGAAACACATGAGTCCATTAACAGCAACCGCGGATTCCAAGCAACAGAAGCAAACCAAGAACCATTAGGACTCTATTGTTAATAGGATTCTAAAAATAGTTGGTTTTTTTCATTATAAATACATGTAATCCTCACCATTTGTGGGATACGATTATGAGAGGAAAAACACACACACAATCTACACGATTACTAGGAGATTACACACGGAAATTACCCAAGAACACTAGCAAAATTACGAAAAGCAAAGCAAGCATTTTTGTAAAGTTTCTCGAAAGGAAATAAGAAAAGGTATCAATTTTACCTTGTTCATTCGTTTGTCGCCCTTGCATGTCGTTTTTTCTTGAGGTTTGGTTTGAATAAAACTCAAAAAAGGTGTTATTAGTCGATGAATCTAAGGGAGTTTCGAATGCTATCTTTTTAGATCTACACCCCTACGAGGCTTATTTTAAAAAATAAAGTGGTTTTACGAAAAAGGGGGTAGGGGCTCTCAGAAAAACTATTTTTTTACGTTTACCGTCGATGATCGACGGTCGGTGCCAATCAACGGTGGCAGCAAGGCAGCGTATGGTGGCCGAAATCTGGAAATCCGGCCGTGTTCTTTATGCCTCAAGAAAACTTGAGAGAAAAGGAGAAAGAGGGGGAGAATTTTCGGTTGGAAATGGGAAATAAAGGTTTTAAAATTTTTTTGTTAGCTTTTATAGTTAGCCCATACCCAGCTCGAACCCGCGCGCTGACCCAATCCGTAACCTAAGGATCAGTGCGTTTTCGCTTATTAAAGGGGAAATCCCCATTTGGTCCCCCTATTTTCTTAAAACTTGCATCTTAACCCTAAAATTTGAATTTCACACCAATTTTCCTTTTATTTTGGCCCCAAATTTAACTTTCCTTTCAAATTAATCCTTATTATTATTATATATATAATTATATTTTCCTATTTATTTTTTTTCTATTTCCTTATTTTTTATTTTTATTACTATTATAGTATACTTTTTTTTGCTTTACTGTATTGTTTAACATCATTTTTTGGGTCTTTTTATTATTATTATTATTATTATTATTATATATCTTTTATTTTTATGATTATATATTTTATTACCTTTTTTCATTTTGCATTTGTTTTTTTAGTATTATTATTATCATCATTATGTATATTAATTATTAATAATATTATATATATATATATATATATATATATTACCTAACTAATTTGTTTTTTTCCTAAGCTTTTTCTTCCTAGCCCCCTTGTTTTCCTACCTTTTCTCTTTCATCATATTTTCCCGGTGAATTGATGGCATATGGCCCTCTTATTTTGTTTTTTCCTTATTTTCTTTACTTTTGGTGGCGTTTGGTTCGCATGAATCCTTTGGAATTAGGGGGAATTGGAATCCAATTCCACCACTTTCCCATGTTTGGTTCAAGTTTTCCAAGGGAATTGGAATCCCTCATGGCTTCAACTTTCCCAATGTTTTTAAAACCGGACCGGACAATGAACCGGTGAAGGTACTGGTTCACTAGTTCAACCAGGTTCAACCGCGGTTTAACCGGATTTTATATAAAATAATATTTTTTTTTAATTTTACATAATATTCAAAGCAATATTAATATATATGCAACATTTTTTTAAGTTTACAATATTAAAAGGTATAAAAATATCACAAGTCATAACATATATAAATTAAAAACCATAAAATCAAGTGAAACAAAATGATTCAAATCAACTACAACATAATATTTAAGGTAAAACATATTAAATAATAAATATAATTATATAAATATAATCTAAAAAATAAAATTGAGGCTTAAAAAATCATAACAAATGAAGTCATTTGGTTTAATTTAAAAAAAAAACAATCTCACATGGCTAAGAAACATAGAAGAGTATCCCAAAAGTTTAAAGAGAAAAAATATGAGAACAAAACAATCCCACATGGCTAAGAAACATAGAAGAGCGTCCCAACTTACTTCTATAAATAATAGAGGTAATTTGACATTCAAAATCATGGAACCTTTTGGTGAGCAAAGAGCGAACTATTCTTTCGCTTCAATTGAGCTCAAATTTTAGGCTTCAATCGAACTTCTAATTTTTTTTTGAGTTCGAGCATTTTTGAGTTCAAGTTTTAATATTATATTTCGAGTTCGAGTTGAACTTGATAATTTTTAGCTCGTGAGTTTTTGAGTCGAGTTGAGCTTACTTTTAAAGTTTTCGAGTTCGAGTCAAGCTCATCAATACTCGAATTTGACTCGGCTCGTTGAACAAACGACGTCGTTTGGTTTAATTTTTTTTAAAAGAAAAAAAGTGAACCGGCGGTTCAAACCGGTTTTGCCGGTTCACCCTGGTTCTACCGGTTTTCAGCCGGTTCATTGCCAGTCCGGTTTTGTGAGGTAACCGGACCGGACAGGCCACCGGTTCATGATTCAACCGGTTGAACCGGCTGGTCCGGTCCGGTTTTGATAACCATGAACTTTCCATCAAATGAGGGAAAGTTAATTACATCCATTATATGATGGAATTCAATTCCCTTGTTGGAGGGAATTAAAATTTGACCATACTACCCTCATCAATCTTTTGGTAACTTATTCATAAATTGAATAAAAATATTTTTTTATTAGTTTGGGTCGGGTCAGGTTTCTAATTCATATATTCGGGTCGGGTGAAACTTTATTTTGGTCAGGTCGGGTCAATTTTTTTAAGTGTGATATTCAGGTCGGGTCGAGTTCGGGTTTAGGGTGAAAAATACCCGACCCAAAAATATATATAATTTTACCTTATATATTTAGGAATAATTACAATAATATCCCTCTATATATAATTTTTTTCAATTAAGTCACTGTTTTTATTGAATAAAAATAATTTTATTATTTCGGGTCGGGTCTGATTTCTAATTCATATATTCGGGTCGAGTTGGGTGAAACTTTATTTTGGTCGGGTCGGGTCGGGTGGACCAAAAACCCGAGCCATGGCCATTCCTAATTAGGATGATTTTAACTTATGATGTTTATTAGTATGATTTTTATAATTTATTGAAATGAATAATCAATCAATAAATTAAAATTTGATTTTTTTAAAATTTTTATAATATATTGCTACATGTAATTTATAAAACAAATTAAAATTAAGCAAAAAAAAATAAGAAAGACAATCCTGTCATTTTACATTACTGAAATCAAATTCATCTAACATGTTTGCGAACCAAATAGAATATGAAATTGGATTCTAATTCAATTCCTGTCAACCAAACAGAATATGGAATTGGATTCCAATTCCTGATAGATTCCAATTCCCTCAGAAACATTCCTGCGAACTAAATGTCACCTTTGTTTTTCATCACGTTTTATATATATATATATATATATATATATATATATATATATATATATATATATATATATATATATTATTCTAACTTATCTTATTTATAAACACTACATTATGTATATATTTTATTTTATTTTTTCCCTTCATTTTGTTTTGTTTTTATTTATTTTATTATTTCGTTTATTTTTTTTTATTTTTTTACTTTGTTTATTTTATTTTAGTCATTTTTGTTTTCTTTTATTTGTTTTCTTTTATTTTAATTTAGTCATTTCTGGTTTATTTGTTTTCCTTGTATTATTTTATTTGTTTTCCTTTTATTGTTTAATTTTAATATGCGTATTTTATCATCAATTATTCTCATTTATTTTAAAACATTAATATAATTTGTTTTCTGGTTCAGCCTTTTTGTAACATTATTTTATTTTTAAATTCGTTAAAGGTAAGTAATTTGGATATTTATTTTACCTTTTAATTTAAATTTTATATTTTCTTATTTAAAGACAACTGGAAACTACGTAGTACCGAAAGGACAGTTCAAGGGTGCTAACTTTTCCTTGATTGTAACCGACTCCCGAATCCGACACATCTTTGGTAAGACGCAGATCAGGTAAGAAATAAAGTATTCGATCAACCCATTTGTTTAAAAATAAATGATCGGTGACAACACCAAACTATTTTCCTAAGTCGAAGCCTAATTATGAACTCACCCGAAAGATGATTCCGACAATTCTCTTTCCTATTTTCCTTAATAAATACAAATATGCTCATCAATATAAGGTAAATTAAATTGTTTGATAACTAACTGAATTTATTTATTCATTTGTGAGGACAGAAACTGGGAACTATCAGAACCGTGGTGGAAGAGTCAGATAAAGGTGCCGGTGAAGTTCGTGACGGGTGAGCTTGATCTTGTGTACGCAATGCCAGGGATGAAGGATTATATTCTCAAAGGAGGTTTGAAAAGAGACGCACCGCTGCTTGAAGAAGCGCTCGTGATTGGAGGAGTTTCTCATTGGATCCACCAGGAGATTCCTCACCAAATCAACCAGCTCATCTTTGATTTCTTCTCCAAGTTCCATTAAATATAAATAAAAACCTTAGCTTTCCCAAGTGTGTGTTTTTCTTTCCAAGTAATTGAAAGCGAAGTTCACTTAATTATGTTTTTGTTTAATATATTAAGTGTAATAATTTATTTCTTTTTTCTTTGGTTTCTTTGATTCCTACGCCGACTTTTTCTCTTGGTTTACATTTACTTTTAAAAGTTGAACCGGTTCAACTCTGGCGTCCTATTCTTTATTCCTTAATATCCGTATTATAGTCAATATTATTTCTTCCTATTGGACTTGGAAGTTGGAACTATAAAAAGCAGTAAACCAGGAATTAAGCTCACAAGAATTGAGAAAATGGAAGGGATAGAGCACAGAGTAGTTAAAGTCAATGGCATAAACATGCATTTAGCTGAAAAAGGGGAAGGCCCAGTGATTCTTCTCCTCCATGGCTTCCCCGAGTTGTGGTATTCATGGCGTCACCAAATCATCGCTTTATCTTCCATGGGTTTCCGAGCCGTGGCCCCGGACTTAAGAGGCTTCGGTGACTCGGACGCCCCCGACCCAGTTGAGAGTTACAATTGTTTCAATATAATCGGCGATGTGGTTGAGCTTATAAACTTGCTGGCTCCCGATGAACGCAAGGTGTTTGTTGTAGGACATGACTGGGGAGCTTACATGGCTTGGTATCTGTGTATGTTTAGGCCTGATAAAGTGAAAGCTGTGGTGAATTTGAGCGTGCCGTTTATTCGGCTTGGTCGGGAAATCAACCCCGTTGATGCCTGGAGAGCTATCTACGGCGACGATCATTACGTGTCTAGGTTCCAGGAAGTTGGGGAAATAGAAGGAGAATTTGCAGAGGTTGGTGCAGAAAGAGTTGTGAAGGAATTTCTGAGTGATTTCCCAGTTTTATTGCCCAAAGGGAAACTGTTTAAACGTCCATTGGATGAGCCAATAACGTTGCCTTGTTGGTTGTCAGAGGAAGAAGCAAGCTACTATGTCACTAAATTCCAGAAAGGCGGCTTCACTGGTGGACTTAATTATTACAGAAACCTTTACAGGTACACACAATATGTTCAATTTTTTTGATCCAAGTTCGAATCTATGCAGTCATAAATTTTGTTTTCTCTCTTATTTATGTTATCTGTATTCTATGCAGTTATAAACTAATCTGACTCGCGTAATTGACAACTCTAAACGAGTTTGTAATTTGTATTTGGTTCGAATATAACTCGAATGGCGGGGTTTTTTGTAACAGGAATTGGGAACTGTTGGCACCGTGGGTAGGTTGTGGGGTGAAAACAGCAGCCAAGTTCATTGTGGGAGACAAGGATCTGGCTTACAACATGGCAGGGATGAAGGAATACATTCACGGTGGAGGGTTCAAAGAAGATGTGCCTTCTTTGCAGGAAGTGGTGGTGTTGGAAGGAGTTGGCCATTTCATCAACATGGAGAAACCAGATGAGATCACCAACCACATCTATGATTTCTTTGCCCAGTTCTGATTGAAAAAGACGTTTTAGGTCCCTTTGCATGTATTTCAAGCCCCTTGTGTCATAAAAACTTGGCTAAGATCCAAGTTCTGAACTTATGAATGAAAGAGACCCTTTCCATGCATTTCAAGCCCTGTGTAATAGAAACTTGGCTAAGGTCCAAGTACTGAACGACTGTGTGAAAGATACAATGTATGATTAATAATAAGACTGTATTACTTGCTGAAAAATTAATCTTGGCCATTTTTTTAACAATATAATTATGAAATAATTTAGAACAATCAATATCTATTACATTAAAAAAAATTAATATCCTTAAAAATGGGGACATTTCAAGACAGGTAAAATACATTTGCTTGAGATTGAACGGAAGCCTTCCATTTTCGAGTCAGACTGAGACGGGTCGAAAATAGAAGCCTTCAATTTTTGGGTCAGGGGTCCACTTCGTGCCTAACCCTTAATATACTCAAAATGTGGCATGGAAAGGCAAGAAGCATATAAATTCTCTCGAGGAAGAACTCAAGTTCCTCATTTCAGATATCATTCATTATAAAGTATAAATCATTGAAAATATATAGAGACAGATCCAGGTATCATTCTCCAAATGTTGTCTGTTTCTTTAACACAAAAGGCAAACCAGCGAGGAAAATGCCTCGGCAACCTTAAGGGGGGAAAAAGGTGAAAACCCAATACAGAATCAGAATCAGAATCAAAACAATGCCTGCCATGTGCTACTGGTACAAACTTATGGTACATGATAATCGATAATCCTCAACATACTTACAAAGCTACAATTAGCGGAACCAGAATCCTTGGTAGTTGTATTAGGTTCTTATCGAAGTTCTGTCATCAGGGCCAGCAAGCATGATCTGGAAGTTTCAAAAAATATGTAAATAAACAATTAATTTAGCAGCGGAAAGGAAAATGCAGTGAGCGAACATAACGAATTTCGTATCATAGGTTTTTACCAAGTATGCTGACAATTTTTTTGGAGAACCACTTACATTGCAATCAAATGCAAATCTTCTGGCAAGCATAATGGCTGCATTTCTATCTCTCTCCGACTCAAATGCTAATACAACCGAGAGCCCTTTCTTTGCTTGCCAAAACAATGCCTGGGCAGCTGCATTTCCACCCCCTCGAACTCCGCAGAGCTAAAGCATAAGCATAAGTGCGAGAATTGAGAAACGAAACAAAGTATGCATATCAGATGTGAATATATCAGAAATATCACGTTTCATATCAATTTGGTGTGGTTGTTCGAAGTACGATGGAGCACATCCATATGTCTGCATGCAATTCTCATTCTATTACTTTTCTTCTTTAAGTACCAATTCAGTACAATTTCTTCTGAAGAATAATGCCCGAAAGAAAGAAAAAACAACGTAAAGGATATGCACAGAACCGTCTTCAAAGCAAATAGTTATTCGTTTTTTATTACAGAAAACAGCATTTCTTTCATGAGAATTTAAGAGACTTGGTACCTGCATTGAGCTGGAATAATATTCTTTAGCAATTGTTGTATTTACTTTACGTAGCTTCATCCTCATCTTTCCTACATGTAGTACATGAAGAGATTCTGATGGATGATCTACACCATTCATTTGGGTAACAATGACCTACAAAAAGTACGATGACAATGATTAGCAGCCAAAATATATTGTTCAAATCTTTACAGAAGATACAAGAAACACTTTTGTCATCCATTCATTTAGGGAAAAACTACTTATAAACATCAATTAAAAGCAAAAACAAAGGATTAAGTTTCATTGGTAACCAAACCAAGCAACCGACACCTATATCAAAGAACTACTGCAATACATGAAATTTCTTCTGCCTCGTACAGGAATTTTAAATTCAAAATCATTTTCCTACAATTTTAAGGTTTCAAGGTCCACGGGATTGTTTAGGGGTTAAATTTCTAATAAGGACAAGGGAGAAGGTTTTAGAAAATATGCAACAGAAAGTCGGTTCAAAGTCGAAACTCTTACCAAAAATATAACTATAGCTAAACAAATCCCTGATCAAATCCTAGTCGGCATCCACAACAAAGGCTAATACTATTCAGTTAGATAGGACTTTTAAAGTAGGAAATCATACATTGAATTCAACATCATGTTTCCGCACAAGTGCCTCCACATAGCTTCCCAAACCAGCAGCTGCACTCACCAAAAAGGAAACTAGGGTTGTAAATTTGAACAAATAGAGAGAAATAAAAATGACACATAATTGTAAACATTTTTTTCAAAAGAAGTACGCATTGGAAAACCATCAGCAAACCTGGATCAATAGCACCAGTAGTTGCCAACTTGATTAGCTGGCCATCATAAATAATCTCAGCCTGCAGGCTTCGACCAACGTCAAAAGGCTCTGGAGCATAAACTGATTTGCTAGCACCTGGATTAAACAAGGTAGGTGAACAACATCAGGTCCAAAAACAAGTAAGATCATTCCTTTGCCCAGAGCAGTAGGTCCTTGCCATTTTTACTTCATTAATATCCTCAATTCATTCATGCCAGTTTTCTTTGTCCTATGATAAACTATTCAATTTTCAGTATAAAAAAATAATATACTGTCCCATTTGATAACATATGCATCCAGACCACTTAATGGCTAATGGGATATTCAAACATGGCAACAGTATTTTGCATGCTTTACCTCCAACCTCAATTAAATAAATCAACAGAAGTTATATTTGTCTCAATCCACAAAGGTGTTAGCTTCACAGAGTAGGTAGTGTTAAAACGAAATTTGAGAAGAAAGAAAGAGTGTTCATCTTTACCTGATATTACCTCCCTTTTGCCACTTTCAGATGAAATACGATACCACTGAATTGAACATTTCGAAATTTCCGGAGCAACATCAGAGCAAGGTTTAATCCGCAAATATGCACCTAAGGTTTCAGCACCATCTAATTCATACAAATGGGATAAATAATCTTCAACTCCCTTGCTTCTTGCTAGCTACAAAAATAGGTTAGGGAAAGCATAAGGATAAAGAAGTCGGTGATAAAAGAAAACTAATGGAACTACAATTACATGAACCACTTTGCTCCACACAAATTCATTGAATATCTGTATTAGAAATGGAATAACAATCTTATGAATTTAGAAGCTGATGCAAAATCAAGGGAAACGATCTACTAAAGAAGAGTTTAATTAGAATGAATAAAGAAAACTGAAAACAAAACAGAAATAAGAAGTAAAAGGCAAACCTCTTTCTGAAGTAGTAGGGAACGCTTCGACTTCTCTGCAAGTTGAATTCTTAATGCACGAAGCTCATGTTCCATATCCATAACCTGAATATTACTATTAGTTTAACCATTCAACATTTCGAAAGAAAAAAGAATTAAAATAAGCTCATGTTCCATATTCATGAGCCGGGCGTAGAACCAAATTACCCATATTTACTATTTGAAAATAATAAATAATTTTTATAATGAAATTTAAATAAAATATATATAATCCAAACTATTTATTTTTATCCGGGCCAGCCCACGGGCTGAAAATCTAAATCTAAACCTGGGGGCTACCCGGCTCATATATGAATGTTTTTAAATACCAATGATGAGAAATAATACAAAAAACAATGACGGAACTTTAGATAAACCTTGCTTGGTTGGTGCAGCATTATGATCCGTCTGGCCTCTTGAACTTCCTTCATTAATTCTTCCAGATCCTGAAATCCATTAAAATATATTTGTAACTGTGACGAAGAAATGCACACAGTTGTTTACATGAGGGGATGACAAGAGAACAATATAAACGTGGAAAACATATTAACTGATAGCCTAATTAACACAACTAATCAATAGATATTTTCACCATTAATGCAATATAGAATGACAATAGTGTCAGCAAAAAGATAGCTGTGATTACCAGGTTGATCATTAACAGTGCAAATTTCACATTACTAAATTTAAAAAGCCAATAAACAGAGTATGTAAAAAAACAAAAACCTGTTTGCCTGAAGCTCTAGACATTTTTTCATGCTCCTGAAGGGCTTCTTCCAACCTCTGAACTGCTGCTCTTGCGCTCTCAATTTCAGCACGAGCAAAAGCTCTTTCCTCATCAACAAGTTTCTTAGCATCTTGAGAAGCCTATTTTGGAGACACAAGCATGCAAATCGGAAAGCAGCAGGAGAAAAATAAATATATCCACTGGTGGAAGATTGTAACAAATCAGTGGCTCAGTCATGATAATACATTTAGACTGTCTAAATATTCATCAAAACAATAAAGAAACTATTACAGTATTTCTTGAACCAGAAACATTGAATGTGTATAAAAAATAATGCATATTAAGAAACATTCAACAAACATACATACCTAAAAGGACCTACAATTAAATCCAAAAAAAAAATGGATGGAACATCAGCCAGTATTAATCATAGGCTATTTACCTGCTTAAGGAAATTTGCTAGTTTCTTCACTTCTGCCTTTTCTTGAATTAATTCTCCTTCTCTTTGAGTCAGTTGAACTGCCAGAGCTTCCACCTGGGGAAAGAATCCAAATGGATAGTTTTAGAGGAACCAAACAAATGTGGAAAGATACCACCATGGGTCAAAAGACAACATCTCAAGCCTTTGAAGATTATTTCCTTATAGCAATTAAGTTTCAAAACTATTATAAATAGCACCAACCATGGCAATAGCTTCTTCTACATCATCCTTGTTTCTTCCAGCCACACGTCCTTTTAAAGATTCCAAGGCATCTCGAAGCTTCTTCAAAAGGACATGTTTCTCCAGTGAAGCTGCCTCTCTTACTTTAGCCTGAATCCAACGAAATACTAGCTTAAATTTGTTCACACGACAATCCGGATAGATTAGAAATTAAATAGTAGCCCCGAGGCTTATCATTTCTCAACTGTGAATAGAAAAAATATAAAAAACAGATAGAAGAATCACTAAACAGTACTGAGTCGCCTATCCACTTTCTTCAATCTGTGATACTTCAGAACGCATAAAAAAATGATAATAACCATAAAACAAAATTTACTACTTCCATGGATCTCATCTGTGAACAGAAATAACAAACACAGGTACAAAAGATGCATGAAAAAAATGATAATATCCCAAAAAACAGAATTTACTGTTCGACAGATCTGAGTGACACTGAAAAACTTAGCTAAGCTTTCCGACATAGGACCTTATATTATTATAATATTGACTTACTTCAGTTTACTAAATATTAGAGATATTTTGGATGGCTAGGATTACAAATTTCCTTGTATAAATAATCTATAAAAATATTACAGTCACAACTTATCGGTATTATTTTCTTTGAATTAAAAGAAAACTAGAGATTTCCCTTAACCCAAAGTTTTTCTTGAGTTCCATCTTCTTTCCTACTCATTTGTTCAGCCTTATTTCTTTTGATTTTGATTTTCATTAGCAAAAGTACAATAAAAACGACTTAAAAGTAGATTCAAACAAACCTATAGCTAGGATTCTTCATAAGGCTAAAATACATCGATCTAATGTTAAGCAAATTGTATAAATAAATGAACTTAGAATAAATTGACCTCTTCAGACAACTTAGCAGCAGCAGCTAACCCCTTCTCGAATTTACTAGCAAGATCACGAACAGAGAGCCGTTGCTGCTGCTCCAATAACAACGCGGTCTCACGTGCAACAACCTCCTTCATAGACAAAGCTTTGCGATCTTCTTTGGCATCTGCAATCTGAAGATTGGACCCGATTTTGTAACTAGGAAAACGACTTGAGGTCGTGGCAAATACTACATCAGCTGAAACTGCTGGAACTGCTTCCTTTTGCATAGTATCACCAAAAACCCGACTTACCCTCGTCATTGTTCCGAAACTAAACTCTGTTAAGATCACCAAAAAAGAGTTAATGTTTGGGCCTTGAAAAAGGAATTTAAACTACTACATGACAAAATCATTATAAAAAAGGACTTGTGAACAGATTGAACCAGAAATGTGGGTCGCTATCAACCAACCTAAATTAAATACATAAGATAAAGTAATTATCTAAAATTAGTTGCCAAACATCTAACTAGAAAATTCAATTTAAATCAGATTTTATAAAAAGTACAAAATTTTCTATAGGCAAGCCCCAACAAGACACCACATTAAAACACATGCAAAGCAGAAGAAAGAGGAAGGGGGAGAAGGATAACATTTGATCACCTGAAACCCTAATTCAAGAAGAGAAAAGTTAAATAAGAAAAGGGGAAATTAAGGGTCGGAACTTACAGATCATGAATATAAGGAAAAACGAAGAAGAAATTAGAAAATCAAATAAAGGAATTAGATTGTTGGATAAATTATACTGGATTGGAAGGGTACTTTGGATTATCTGCAGAAATTTATATAAATAGTTGACAATTTAAACTAAAAAAAAGTAAGATTTCGCAGTTTATTTTTAGGTCGGTTGTTTCTGCCTTTTTCGAAAAGGTTAGAGAGAGAAAGACGAAGAGCACAAGCAGCCGCCCACGGGTAACGGCCACGGCCACCTCCTGTTTTCACTAATACACTGGGTTTTTTTATTGTATTTGTATTTGTTTACTATAACTATATTTATCGTAAATTCTATATTTAGTACATAAATCATTAATTTTATTTCGTTTTAGTATCTTAACTTTTAAAAAATATTAAAACATACATAATTTTTAGTTTTTGTTTAATTTTAATACCTCTCCTTTCTGAAAATTTAAATTTTAAAATTTAGTATCCCACAATTCTCAATACCATGCTTAATATTAAATTTTAAAGGAGTACTAAAATGAAATAAAAATAAACTTTAGATATAATTTTAAAAAATTAAAAGTTTAAGTATTGAAATAGATAAAAACTTATAGTTTTGATACTAAATATATAACCCTTATAATTAACATATTTGTAACCAAAGTTATCTTGTATGTATTTCGATGTATTTTATGTAGTTTGAATTATTTTTTACATCGTTAAATTTTTTTAATTAATATGATATAAGTAATAATAATAAAAAATTACTAAAAGTTTCACCTTTTTGGTTGGACAAGATATATTTTAGATTAAAATTAAAAATATTATTTTTTATAACATTTTTTATTATAATCGAAATTACAAATGATATATTATATTACCGCATATAAAAATAAAATAAATTTATGAATTATTATAAGGATTAACTACACATATGATTACTTATGTTTGTGTTTTGTCCACTTTTGGACCCTGGTTTCAAAAAACATAAGATGTGGTCACTTTCGTTTTTATTTAATTAAAATGGAGTCATCCTTAGTTAACTGCTACTAACAACAATTAAATATTTTGATATAATCACACGTTTGGTCCTTGTTATTTACATGTTCTCTTAATTTAATTCTACTTATAAATTTATTATGTTAGTTTGTTAACTATAGATTTATTTGATTGATGTGTATGATAAAGTAAGTCTAATTATATTGTTTATCAACTGTCATTTTATCACATTCTCTTATATCTTTGGTCACTGTAGACTCTTATAAATTTGTTTTATTATCTTTTATCAATTTAATTTTGTCAAAATATTTATAAAATTCACATAACTTTAACATTTATCTCTTTCGTCCTTAGAGGGGTAAAGACTTTGTCGGATTTAATGGTTTTGGACGTGATCAACCAAAAATTTAAAGAGTAAGAAACATGCTTTCAATAAGAAAAATAATATATTATGAAACTAACTTCATTGGAACATCATCAACGTAGATTTGAGCATTATAAGATTAAAATTTTGACTTGATTTTCATTGATTTTGAAAGAATTTTTAGAAAAATAAAATTATTGAAAAAAATGGGGGATAAAAGGTATACATTGTTATACCATCTATGTCACGTACGTTGGTAGATGATAATTGAAAGGGTTTAAGATCTTTTTACAAAAGAAAAAAATTACATCATAAACCGTGTTAAAATATTAACGGTTTGATAACTAAAAAATGAATTAGAAAACTTTAGTACTATAATTTTTATTTTTTTATAGCTCAATGATCAAAACAAAAATATGATCAAAGTTTAATATTTAAGAATGTATTTTACCTTTTAAAAAAACAATCACAAAATTAAGCATAACTAAAATGAGAATTTGACCTTTAAGATTTATATCAAATTAAAACTAAAATGAGAGCATATATATAAATAATATGGACCAAATGTTCGATTATATCAAAATATTTAACTACTTTCGTTAAGTCATATTGGTTACATCTTAATTAAATAAAAATGACAATAACTTATGTTTTCTGAAATCAATGACCAAAAATAGACAAAACATAAACATAAGTGATCATCTGTATAGTTAACCCTTATTATAAAGCTATTATTTTTTATGAAAAGTTTTCTGGTGGACCCTCTTATTTTCAAAAATCAAACTTTTGTAAGAACAAGTTCAATTATTAGAATATAAAATTTGAACGGAAGTTTGAATATCCACAAATATTTAATAATAAATACTGAATTTAAATTCCAAATATCAGATCCAGCACAGAAATTAAATATATATTAAGCATTAGCAGTAATTTAGAAGCAAAACATATTAAGAAAGCTCAGTCACAAAATGTAGAACAAAGGCAGCTCAAAGCAATATCCATGTTGTCTTAAACAAAACTCTTTCAAACTTCCAACAGAAATTTAAATCAGATCCAAATAAACCAAAAAGAAACATAAAACCCAAGTTTATTTTTTAATTCATTCTCCTAATTAATTCATTGATGTAATTCTCGCGGTTGCCGGCGTCTCCTCCTTCAACATAGTGGTTCCTCTTCTTCTTTAGACCACCCAACGGTGCCTTGAGCTGAAAGGGCCAGAGGAAGTTGTTGGCCTCCTTAAAATGAGGTCCCACGGTCATCATCTCGTGGATGAGATCTTCGACGCAGATGATGCCAAACTTGCCAAGAGCCTAAAGAGCAATACAAGATTAAAAAAAACATTTTTAGTGATCAAACATGTCGCTTCATCTCTCGTCCATTTTTCATTCAAAGGAGTCGAAGATAGACGATATGTTCATCCATATACTCTCTTACTACGCCACTATGGAACTTTGTAAATGCAAAAATGATACTGACCTGCTCAACAATTTCATTGTCGGTCAAAGCAATTCGCTGCTTGTTCAACTTCCCATAACCTCTTTTGTAAATCAATTCCCTAACACTCTTGAGGTTTGGGTATCTAGAGCCATGGCACCGTTCAGAAATAAGATAAAGCAAGCATATAAAATCACTAAAACGGAAAATGAGGATCCACAAAAGGCAAAAGATACCCGTAAGTGACGTAAGGTTCGACCAAGTGAAGCATGTTCACCGTTGCCTTGTTCACTTTAAGAAAAACACCATTGAAAATCTGTATTTGATAAGAGCAAACACAACTATTCAGATTCAGGTTTTGTTTATTTATAGAAGGAATTATATATTTCCAAATTCATTAACAACAAATGCAAGTTCGCAATTATCGGAAGAAACCAGATTAAATTATGAGTTAACACATGCATCTAACCGTTCAACAGGAACCACGCATCAAACACAAAGGGAAAATGGGAAATCAATTCACAGAGACCATATTTCTTCAGAGATTCAGTATGTACCTGTCTCAAACGTAAGAGCTGCAAGATCTTTCTCGTCCTCGGGTGCATGGCATTGATACTGAAAACAAACATTCGTACAACATTAAAATTTAGAGTTTAGGTTCATAAACCATGCAAAATGTCACAAGAACCACGTACCCACGGATTCGAATAATAAACAAAAGCTTAGCTTCTGGATCAACATAGAATCCTCCTTTCAACTTTGCCTCCCTCTTCAATTGAATCAACTCTTTTTCCTAACAATTTCCAACCACGCACAACGTGATTCAGACGCTTCTACGATCCAATCCAATGAAACTGATATACATAAATCCAAAACAAAACATCTCATTTTTTTTTACCTCAGCCTCGTACTCCTTTGCATATTGTTTAGCCCTATTGAAAATCAGCTTCCGGTTCTCGGCTTTCTTCTTCTTCTCAGCTTCAAGCTCCTTCTTTTTGGCAAGCTCCCATTCTTCATTCCTCTTGTTCTTCTTCAACAATGATTCAGGAACCAAAACCTTAACTTCGTCACCCATTTCTACCAAAAAATCATATCAAACCAGAGCAAATCAGGAAAACAAATTCCACATAATATCTAATAGTCCCTAAACAAGTATCAACGAAAGGGGTTGTCTTAGTAAAGATTATCACTACATAAAATCCTCAAAATATTTAAACTGAGAGAACCCAATTTTTTGTAATAAGCAATTATTTATAAAAATGGAATTCGAGCGAGTACCATGAGATTTCATTGACTGATAAAACAATATCAATGCAGAGACAAACAAGCAACAGTTGATATGATTTAAGAACCTCTGTTATAGTGTGTCAGATCTCAGCTGCGGCAGCACAAGAAGAGTTTAGGGTTTTTGTGTATAAGCTGACTAATATAAAGGCTTCCTCACTCTAGGGTTATTAAAAAGCGCTGTATGAGTGTCTAGCGGCGGCCATTTTTTGGGCCGGGTTTAAGCTTTTGGGTTAAAAACGAAAAGGAATAATTAAAAAAAGGAGGCTAAATAATTCGGTAAAAATGCTTGAAAGATTTTATTTCTCATGTGGTGTATCCTCCAAATTATTTCTCCAAATAAGTCATTTGTTATAGTGTTGTAGGTTTTACGGGCGGATGATGACGACGCAGTTTTGTAAGGGTAGAGAAAATACATTAAAGACGCATGGTAATTTTCGAGTTTTCAACTTCAAAATGCTTGAAGACGCTTAAAATTTTTGACGTCTTTAACCGGTCACAAGAATTACTCGACATTTTCACTGCACACTGTAACAGGGGAAATAATTTGAAGGGTTGGGAAATAAAAATCCTTCAAATTTGCTAAATAATTCTGCCAAAATCCGACTAAAGATTTAATTTTTAAAGTCCAACCCAACTCTCTCTTATACAAAATTCTCTCTCCCTGTCTGTGTTGACGCTTACGAATTTGATAGAACCTTTTGGCTTAGCTGCCATTTTTTCCAAGCAATCCGAGCTACCAGCATGAGTTACAGTTTCGCGCGTTATTCTCTCAATCTCCATTTGAGTTTCTCTTCAGGAATTGTATCTACCAGAGCTATAAACAACCATGGCTATCTACTTTTGGCGGCCAATGCCAACACGACGTATTTATTTCAACTGCAATCCTCAGAGACGAACCCCAGAAAGTAAATGAACCATTTCAGCTATTCTTTTCATTTTTTAATGATTATATTTGTTCCCCCCATGTTTTGATAATGGGACATTCAGAGCCAAGTGCCGAGGAGTTGGTGGTGGAGCCTTATGGATCAATTAGAGCTAAAACTGTGGATCCCGATCTTAATGTTTTGGTCATTGAGAAAGGAAAGCTTTTATCACAGGTTTTTAGACTGTTTTAATGTCCCTTTTTTGGTTTTAAAATAAACGAGTTACCCAAGTTCGTGAAATGTGCAAAATTTCAGCTTTTGTACTGTTTCTGTTTGTTGGCAGGTTAAAATTTCTGGGGGTGGAAGGTGTAATGTTACCAATGGCCATTGTCCTGACAATGTAGTAAGATTTTTGGTTGTTTCATTTTGATCATTTGAGGGAGAAATTTGCAGCTTTAGATTTTGGACAATGATTATTATAATCTTCGTAGATGATGAGATTAATTTAATCCTTTAAAAGTTTTTGGCAGATCATTATCCTAGAGGTAACAAAGAATTGCTAGGTTCTTTTTTCAACATGCATGGCCCTATGGATACCATGTCCTGGTTTGTTGATAGGGGTGGATTTGAAGGTTATTTTCTGCAAACTACTCGTGTATGATATCGTGCCTTAATATGCCCATTGGACACATACCCGAACAATACACTTAAACTCAAGTTTGAGTATAGTTTTTGAAAGTTGGTGTCTTCTTCTTGTTTCTTTCATTATTTCACACTTGCAGTTTATGTCTCAGATAGAAGATGACCGAAGAGCAGTGGCGGATGCATGTGGCTCTCTAGGGGAGCACTTGCACACTCATTATTTTGAGAAAAAAATTAAATTTAGTTTAATTTGTTAATGGAAATAGGAAAAATAAGAAAATTTGCATGCGCAATTTTTTTTAAAATAGAATATTATAATTTTAGATTTTCATTTTTTAATTTTTAAATCCGTGACTGCGGAAGAGTGGCTCCTGTCAGCAACAGTTCTTCAGGTGTTGATTGTCTTTTATCTGAGGCAAAGTGTATGGGAGGTATGTCTCTTTGCCCATTGATTGTAACAACTGGCTATATTGTTCCGACTTTCGACTTTCCATTTTTCTTGGAGTACCCGTGTCTGACTCATATTTCGACATAGTGGGGTACCTTCCAATGACTCTTGAAATAGTTAAAAAATTAAAATAAATAAACATACCTGTCACAGATGTATGACAATATCTGGCACACACCCAAATCCGAGTCACATAATAGCAATATGCTTATTACTTTAACATGAAAGACTTTCTTTGTTACCATGAAAACATAAATCGTCATTGCATTGCATCTCAATGTTAAATGGTAAAAATTATAGCAGGTTCTTGTTGATAATGGAAATCAAACACGTCATGAAGGAGCTAACTATATAAGTAACTAAACAGTCATAGCACTTTGTTTGGAGTCTTTAATGGATGGCAATCCTCCTCCTGCTAGATATCAGAGAGAAAAGAAGTTGATATTTTATGGCTTATATAAGTAAAATGATGATGGCTTGTAATCCATCCATGATATTATAGCATATTAACTTAGCTGCCAATGCTAAAATTATGGAAATAATATTATCAACATTTTTCTACCATCCTTCAAATTTTTGTGAAATTCTGATTTAATTCGATTATCTGAATTCTTATCGGACTTTAATGCTTTATAGCTTTTAATACAAATCCCGAATTAAAATTTTGATTCCCATGAAAACAACAATTTTGTAATAAACTATTCATTTACGGGTCAAAATATATAACTATTACATTTTTGGTCCTTGAACTTTTCCAAAGTATACACTTTAGCCACTAAACTTTCAAAATTCATATTTTGGTCACTAACCAAAATTTTTGGACTATTACAACCCAAAGAATATAACGTTAGACACCTAAAGATATAATTTCTCTAAACGCTATGCACCTATTTTTAACAAAAAAAAAATTCTTTAGGAACCAAAACATTTTTCGAGGCACAATTTGAACACTTAATTTTTGTATTAAACCTACAAACAAATAAACGAGATATATAGTAAATTCTGAAACACCTAACTTAATTTTGTAGGAGGACAAAAATATAAATTAATTAAGGCTTATTATAAAAATAAGTGACCAAACTATGCATTGAAAAATAATTAAGGCTTAATATAAAAATAAGTGACCAAACTATGCATTGAAAAATGTTTTAGTGCATAAAATTTTTTTCGCTAAAAATAGATGCCCAACGTTTTCTCAATTATACTTTTAGGTGGATACCATTTATTTTTTAATAATAAAAATATTGTTTTCAATTAAAACAAGAAAAAATAAAAAAACTATTTATAAAAAAACTCAATTTTTTACTAAAATTATAAAAACCCTAAAAACTAAAATCTCTCATTTTAACCAACATTACCAACAGTCGTCAGCTATCTATGGCCACCATCGTCATTGCTGAATAGTCATCCACCTGTCGCAAACGGTCGCTGACCATCTCTAGCCATCATTGTCATCGCTAAACGGTTGGGTTTTGAATCTAAAATGCCAAAAATCCAAATCCCTAATTCCCAATTTAAATTTCCCAACCCAAACGGTCGCTGACCATCTCTAGCCATCATTGTCATCGCTAAACGGTTGGGTTTTGATCGGAATTGCACAGTGGATCGAATGGTGGCGACAGTGTGGCTTATGGACATCAAAATCGACGAAGAATGACGAAATTATCCGACAAACCTTTGAATGCTTCTCCACGGCAAACGATGGCATATTACGATGTTAGGATTTGAAGAGGTTCAATTGAACAACTGAAAATGTGCAAAGGGGGTTAATTGACAATAATTTAATTAGGGAGTAAGGAGAGCAAAAGATAAAAAAATTTGGCATAAGGATTTAAAGTGGTTCGACTTATCAACCAAGTCTACATCCACTACCTTAGCTCCTCACTAAGGATTTTCTAACAAATTCACTAATTTGTTCTTTCTTTTTCAAGGATAAAGAGATAACCTTTACAACTCCCTATCTTTTGAATTGGCTAAGATAGAACCAAAACCCCTTTACAAAAGGTAAAAAGAAGTAAACCAATAAACCTCTCAAAGGTAGGGTGTTTACAAGAATTTAGCTCACACAAACACAATATTTACAAGAGAAATGAAAATAAGAATGAAAAACTCTTCTCTTGTCATTGATTGCTTGGATAGGTGTTCCTTAACCCTTCTTCAAGTGTCTTTAACTTGTTTTTATATGTTGGAATGTTGTTGTGGCCGTTTCTAGCCATTGAGAGTTTTCTAAAGCCGTTGGGGGTCAAATTTCGTGCAAAATGCTGCCCAGAATAGAAGGTATCGGTACTCCTAAAGGGAGTATCGGTACTCCTAAAGGGAGTATCGGTCCTACCTTTGTTATATTTAAATCAACTAGCCGTTACTAGTTGTTGGGGCATGATGGTATTGATACTACTATGTAGAGTAGTATCGGTACCCCTTTGGGTATCAGTACCATTTTTGCATTCTGGAATTTGAGCAATACTGGTAGTATCGATACTACCTAGTGAGTATCGATACTTCCCTTACCTTTGATATCGATACCATATGAACATTATCAATACTGTTCATGAGGTATCGATATTGTAAGAACATTATCGGTACTACTTGTCCAGAAAAACATTTTGTGCTCAATTCCACTTTTAAGGACTTTCAATTATTTTGAAAACTTTGAAAAACTTTGAATAAATTCAATTCAAATCCAAAAACATTTTGCCTTGATTTTTATATCAAAATATAGTTCAACAATCTCCCCCTTTTTGATATAACAAAACATTTGAATTTTTTTTTTTTGGCAAAACTTCCCCTTAGTAAAATATTTAATGAAAAAGATACCAATTGTTGGAAAATATGTGAAAATGTTCAACTCCCCTTTTTCATTAAGAAATTGAAATTTTCTAACCCATACTTCTCCCCCTTTTTGTAATATAAAAAATAATTCAACTTTAAAGTTCTAAAATAACTTTAGAGAGTAAGTGCCAAATTTTATCATAAAATCATTTGAAAAGTCAAAAGCTCCCCCTCAAAAAGTGCATTCCAAACAAAAATTAGCTTTAAAATCTTGACACTTAAACAAAATTGAATTTCAACAAAGAGTAACAAACATGTTAGTAGCACATGAAATTCAATATAACGAAGTCTAAAATACTTTATGCAATACCAATAATTGAAATTAAGTACATATGCATAAAGCTTTTAAAAATGTTATGCATTTGAAGAATTTGATATCAATTGTTAGAGAAATGTCTTTAACATTTAAAACACATGCATAAACATTTAAATTTAGGTCAAAATTTTAAAATTTGTAAAATCAAAACATTTGAAAAGTTGATATCAATTGTTAGAGAGATATCATTTGCATTGAAAATCAATTTTGACCAAAATTCATTATGATGAACTAAAAAATAATGAAAAATCATTAAAAATTTAAAATGTTCATCATAAAACACTTTTCAACATACATGAGATTAAAAACAATGCATAATCATTTAAAATAAAAACTCATGCATGCATAAATCAAATGAGCAGCCAATTATGCAAAAATAAAAAGCTTTTAAGCTTAGAGGTAACACATTCCTTTTAGAGTGTGGCTAGAGCATCTTGATTTCTTCATTTTCATGACCATTGCTCCCACACACCTACAAGAGACATTTATTTGAATTTTGGAATCCAAATTGCTTTGGATCCTTGGACGTTAGTTTCAATGCCCCTTGTTCCCTTTGGAACTCATACTTGTCTAATTTTAAAAGATTTTCTTTTCTTTATGGGACAAGTATGTTCCAAATGACCATAAAAATGACAATGTGAGAATTTTGCCATTTTTAAACATAATGAGTTATTTTGAGAAATTAATTCTTTTTCTTTTGTTATGCTCTCAAGCTTAACTTTCAAATCAAAATTTTCTTTTTCTAAATCATTGATTTTAACTTTTGAAAGCTCTAAATCATTTTTCAAAATTTAATTTTGATTTTCAAAATCAACTTTGGCTTTCAAAATCAAATCATTTTCAACTTTAAATTTTGAAATTAATTTCTTATATTTGGAATTCATGGTCTTAAATTCCAAATACAACTCATTATAAGAATCTTGTAACTCATCAAAAGAATGTGAATTTAAATCATTTAAGTTAGAAGATACCATTGAATCTCTTTCGATGGCCATGAGGCATAGGTTGGCTACTTCATCTTCATCATTGGAGTCATCTTCATCACTCCAAGCAGTCACAAATGCCTTTTTCTTTGATGATCCCTTTTTCTTTAGGAGAGGACATTCATACTTGACATACCCCGTTCTTTGATAATTGAAGCACACCGGGGGGAACTTTTCTTCTTGGTTGATTCATGCTTCACTTCCTTGAAGACATGAATCTCTTGAACTTTTTGAAGAGCTTGGCCATCTCTTATTCTTCATCGTCTTCATCCACATCTTCACTTGAATCTTGATAGCTCTCATTGGTGGACTTGAAGGCAATGCCTACCTCGTTCTTCTTCTTGTTTTATTTCTCTTCATCTTCTTCCTCTTCCTTCACCATCAACTCACGAGTGAGAAGAGAACCAATCAAATCATCGAGAGTGAGAGACTTTAGGTCTCTAACTTT